GCGACATTCGCCCAGTAAAGTTGGTAACGATGGATGGAAAGTAGTGCCACGTCTTAACGTCGAATAATAAGTGTTAGATAACCATTTGTGATAACTTAAAATTACTTCTTTCGCTTTGTGATATTTTTAATGTATCAAACTATAAAAATTGCAGATTTGTAAAGTATTATTTTCTTAATAATTTCAGAGTTTCATTTGACCGAAACGCATGAATAAAGTGATAAGGCACATGGCGATGGTAATTTTACATAAGGCAGAAGAATGCACAACGTTTCTACAAGTATAACTTAAACAGGGCTTTCAAAAGTGCTCATTTTACCGTGAACAACCTATACCAACAAATAACGCGAATTTTACGTGTCTGTACGTACAGTGTATCCGCGTTTCTTTACTCTTTTTGAATCTCACCCCATGTACGACGATCTTGGTTGTTTTGTAATTATGGCATGTTTCACACACGGGTTATACTTGCGTTAATATAAAAATGCCTTACTTTTGGATTAATTAAACTTTTACTTATATTTTATTTATAAATTATTATTATTTCATTTAAAATTAATATGAATGAAAATGGAGAAATAGGTATGTTCGCAATGCCTAGTAAGAAATAGTTTTTATGCAAAATGTTATTACACAATTAGCGCACGAACGCGGTGCGTTGCTATTTGGAGTAATTTTATAGATTCGGTTAAGCTTTGTTTACCTGAGGTGGAGGAATATCATGGAAGTAGAACTTGAGCAGGGCCTCAGAAAAGTTTGATGTAACCGTGAATGGACCATAGTTAGGTCCACCTGTTTTTTTTTTTTTTTTTTTGCGAAAATATTTGTGTTCAAGCTCGACTTCAATAGACTGTTTACGCGCACATTTGCAAATTTCCTTTGACTATTGGCTGCGTGCCTTTCTGAGGAGACATCTTCTCCCTGACCAGGCCAATCAGAAACAAGTTGCCCCAACAATGAACGTTCTTGATTCGCTAGCAGACACTTACTTAAGTCACACGACAGGTAAAATCAGCCAATCACGAAAGGGGTTCTGAACTAACGTGCTTTGGAGTACGGATCATAAACTATTATCGTGGGCTTTTCTTTTTTGATTCAGAGAGATTTAGGCATAGAGCATTCCGTTGTTCATTTTCTGAAGTTGGTATCGCTTGCCTACTGTGGTTAGTTTAGTTACTGTAGTCGCCCACAGGGAAAAAAACAATTTTTCCGAGCTGTTGCGAAATATTTCTTTAAACCAAATTAAACGTATTTAATGGCGGAATACTTATAAATCGAAGATGGCGGAAACGAGATCTTGAGATCCGATTCGTAAAACACGTGTCCCTAACTATAGTCCATTCACGGTTACTTCCAACCTTTCTGAAGTAATGCTAAAGTTCTACTTCCCGGCTATTCCTCCGCCTCATGCGAACAAAGCTTAAATAAGTATAGAAAATAACACCAAAGTGACACTGCACCGGATTCGTGCGCATTCAGTGTAATATTATTTTCCATACGAACTATTTCTTACTAGGCATTATCAACACACATTTTTTTTCTCCCTGAACAGATGCGCATGAATTATTAATGAAATATTATATTTTATAGACAGAATATAAGTGAACCGTTGTCCTGTACATATGTCTTAAATCTCTCCCCCTCTCTCTCCCCCTCTCTATCCCCCCCTCTCTCCCCCCTTTTCCCCCTCTCTCTCTCCCCCTCTCGTTTCCGAATTGTGAATCCAAACCATTCTCGAATCCACTTGAACACACACAAAAAATTTCATAAAAATCGGTCCAGCCGTTTAGGAGGAGATCAGTGACATACACACGCACAGAAGAATTATATATATAAAGATAAGGCACTTTTATATTTACACAGTTATAAAACGCTTTTAAAACGTGATATTTTTAGGAAACAACCAAACATGTTATACTTGGGGTTATTTTTCAAAGGTTTTATTTTAAAAAATGTGAATGAATCACACATATATATATATATATATATATATATATATATATATATAGGGGCGGGGTCCTGCGAAATTCGCGTTATTATTTGGGAACACGTTAAGCTTTAAAACACGTGTACCGTTACAATACTTTTGTCATTGGACCATTTTATCTGCCCCGCCCTGGGTAACTCTGCGCCAATAAATGAACACTTCCCAATTGTGTAACCCAATCACTTGCAGTATGCTCAGAGAGGGCGTGGCTTCACGTCTCTACAGCAGTCAATGAGTAAACGACTCCTGCTCCGGTATACACAGTACTGTGGAGTTTAGCATGGTGCCAAATAATAACGCGGATTTAGCATGGCCCTAGTTATAGGCTACTCATGGTAAAATGAGCACTTTTTAAAGCCCTCTCACTTGGAATAATGGTCGATAAATATATTTTATTCTAGCCTTATACGTTAACTTCCGAGTACGGTGGAATATACACATTGTGTTTATTACTTACATGGCAATATTTATTTAAAAAAAAAAGAATGGAAGGATAAGAAATGTCTGAAAGGAAGGGAGAAGTAGCGAGGGCCTCGCAAGTGCTCACTTGACCGTGGACAGCCTGTAGTTGTGAGGCGACGCCGACTCCGCTGGAGCTACGCCGTGCCGTAGCCTTGTTGGCGGACGACGCTCGTCGTGGGGCTCGTGCCAGCGCGGCCGTCACGACGTCGACGCCGCGAGGGGCGAGTGCCAAGTGTGCGACCCCGGGGGAAGGGAGGGGAGGAGCTCACACTTCGCCGCCCGAAAACAGCGCGCAGACGTTCACTTACTACAGTTGTCATTTAACACGCTGAGGTCTGCACACATTCGCTGGCACTTGAAGACGGAATAGAAGTGAGTCAGCTATATCCACTACTGCGAGAACACTGGTTCTGTTGGTGTCTGCGTTAGAACTCACCATCGGCTTACTGGTCCATACCACACCTGACGTTATCCTGTACTTTACAGCGTTCATTATTGAACCTTCATCAACAGATGGAGAGCTGAGCTGATATTGACAGCAAAGACTGCACATCCATTCCAGTTTTGTCCTGAAAAAACAAAGAAATTTTCAAATTAGCTTTGCTCGAGCTACACTCGAGCATAGTCTATAAAGTGTTTTTAAAAAAATTTTCCGTATTTATGAGTAGAGCCAGCCCTGTTTTTAGCGGAAACATTTCTGCGCCGGCTAGCTGCATTGCGTTTCGTATATCTTCAGTGCATTTTTACACACACTTTGACTAACCTGTACAGCACGTGTAGGTAGGACCACCTGTTTTTCGCGAAAATATTTCAGGGTTACTTGTGCTCGAAAACACTATAGCTCAGATCCACTTCCTTGATTGGATGATTTTAACTGCCACTCGTTGCAGATGTTTGCTCGCGAATCACGGACACTCAGTGTAGGAGTTACTTAATTCTGATTGGCCCAGCCTGGTAAGGAACTGTCATCCGACAAAGACACGTGGCCATTAACCAAAGGTAAGCTGCACGTACTCATAGAACATTGGAGTCTAGCATTCACTTAAATCTTTCCGCGAAAAACAAGTAACCCTATCTATAGGCTGTTCAAGGTAAAGTGAGCACTTTTGAGGCCGTAGTTACTCTCTACTTTCAGCCAATTTTTATCTCTTGACAACCTTTTCAAATAAATATAGCCATGTAAGTAATTAACACAGTGTTCATATACCACTGCACACGGAAGTTAACGTCTAAGGCTAAAATTATATATATTTATTGCCTATTAATATAAACAACGGGGCTTTCATTTCAAAAGTGCTCACTTTACTGTGAATAGCGTATAAACCGCAAACTTCTTCACTTGCAAAGTTTTGTGACTACTGATGGTTCTTGCGGGATTTATGTTGTTATGTTGGCGATCATTTCGGTGATCATGAAAAAAAAAAAATTGTACTCCGCATTAAAAATTATAATTTATAACTGAAATCACGATTACAACATTTATTGCTTAAATAATGCGTTTTACATCGGTATGAACAGTGGCATACTTATCGAGTTTTGCTCTTGCCGGAGGTTTAGAAATTGAATGCTTGTGGTCTAAATAAAAGGTCTTCTTTTAAGTGTAGTTACATTATTTAAAAACTCCAACGATTCCAATGTGAAGGTTTAACTTTACTGAAAATGTTTCGTGCCTAAGTTATTTCTCGCATCAGTACGAACAGCGACATGTTTACCACGTTTTGTTCTTTCGATGAAATTAACTTTTGAGTCAATTCTTTTGTCTTCACTTTCACAAACTTTGTAACCCGGAGTGAGGAAATTTTCGACTAAAAATCTTATAACTGTCATTAAACAGTTAGGGAGAGCTGATTTTTGTCACACGTTCATGAAACATTTTGTGAAGTGTGTCGAATACAAGAACAAAAACACTGAAATTCCACATGTAAATTAATTGAAGCTACTAGTTATATAACGATCTTCCTTTTAACTAAAAACACCTCTATTTCATACTCAGTATGAAACTGTTTTCGTATTTTATCACAGTGGTTAAATTTTGCCAACTTTGGGGGTTGAACGTCTTGCAGAATTTTACGGCTTAGTTTGAAATTGATGTGGCAACCCTGCGTCCTCGGTCCTTAGCCTCGAAGTGGTTCGCGGCTACTGAATCTATACACCACGTGACTAGCAGCATCCAGATCGAATCGCTATATGCGATTCACGGTAAAGTGAGCACTTTTTAAGCGCCCCCCCCTTTTTTTCTACAGGCATTAACCACTAATCAATATATATCATTGCAGCCCCAGGCATTAAATTTATAGGGTGGTGAAATGTATACAATATGTTTGTTGGTCACATTGAAGTGTTTATATTAAAAAGCAGCAGGAAGTTGGGAATTGAACTAAAGGGAAGATTTAGAAGGGCCTTGAAAAGTGCTCACTTTACCGTGAACAGCCTATACCAATTTGTTCACAGAACACACTCACGAAGAGGGAAAACTATTTTTCTTTGTTTGAGCATGTGGATGTTGCCAACATTAACTTGTTCATCGCCATCGGGGCCGCGGTGGCTCAGCGATTATCATAGCTCAGGGGTAGGGTGGCCGACTTGTAGTCGGAGGGTCGCGGGTTCGCGCCCCGGTGCCTCCGACGTGGCAGATGCTCAGTTCGATTGTCGCACTGGGAATTCGTCAACAGGTCGGTCTCACTAGAGCTTCGTCAACAAAAAAAAAAATCACAACAACGTCAAATGAAAGTTAAGAAAAAAAAAAATTAGCACGCTCGCCTCCCACCAAGGCGAACCGGGTTCAATCCCCGGCCGGGTGACGGGATTCTCGCCGGACGATATCGTTGGTCGGCGGGTTTACTCGGGGACCTCCCCCCCCCCCCCGGGCCCATTCCGGCGCCGCTCCATGTTCGCTTCAATCACACTAATCGGCTCTCGAAACCTCGCTCTTAAGAGAGTCGCCCTAATCGCTTCACTCACTCGCATTCAACGCCATCAAAACTGTCAAAAATTTCGTGGATACAGAGACACACGCATGTTGGTTTACATTTCTTGTTACATCGGATAAGTTCCTTTATTTATCAATGTTAATCATTCAAACATATTATGTTCTTAAAATCATTCTAGGATTATCAGACTCGCCGTTACATAATTCATTTCAATATACATATGTTTATTTTATCGAGCAGTCTGTGGTTACACTATTCATTAAATTATTGGGTAATGAAGAGCTTTCCTTCAAATACGTTTTCCTGTGGCCATTTAGATTATTTCTACCTATTTATAGAAGCGCCACACAGTGACATCTATAGCTACGTTGTGCAACATTCTTCCAGCATTGATCCTACCACCCCCCCCCCTCTCTCTTATCATAAGATCTGGATTAGGAGAAATACTTTGAAAATCCGATTGTTTATAACATGCCAACCGCTTCGGGTTTTCTTTAGAAGATCAGTTACCATTGAGTTATGAGTAAACGAATTTTGCAATAAAAAACATTCTTCGAATCTAAGATGTTGTACTGCAAAGCAAACGGATAAAATATTTTTATACTTCTCCCTGCCCCCTTTTACACCCAATGGATGTGTTAAGAATATACGATTTATGTAGCCTTTGCTGGACACGTTTGCCAGCAGCCATTATCTCCGAGAAAAAACACGACACTGAAAATAATATTCCAGTCGGCCTTGCATAGCTCAAGCAATCGCTCTGTCATCTTGAACCAAGGCTTCATGTCAACATTCCCTGTAAGAGCACTCTCGCGCACTCTTGGCGCAGCTAATTACGGGTTCTTTTTAGTCGCTTGCCCTGATGGAAGATCTACACAACCTGCAAGCAAACGAAATACAGCATGAACAATTGCTGTGATTCAGTCACAATGTGTTACATCAGTCATTCCAGCAACATAGGCGACGTGCCAACTGAGTTACAGAGTGACCGTATTTCAGATCTTGTCCATTCCTTACATTCATTCATCAGGTAGCGATATCAAAGGTATACGAGAACAGTCTCCTGGAGAAGAGAGACACGGGCTGAATGGCATCACTGCTTTCTCGTCTTCGTCTTGTCAGTGAGGACCACATGGCCGTAAACTGCAGAAATCTTAAAGTAGGCTATGAAGATAGCTTCTCTTTGTTTAGAAGTAAGAGGCTAGATTCCTCACGATACCGCCTTTTAAGCAGCCTGTTTGTGCAAGGTAACTTTTCAACAAAACACTGTTTCAGCAGTCATCTGTTCATGTGAGTTTTTTCGTCTTTTTATTCGAGGGGTAGGTCTTTTGGGTCTGGGCGTGGTAGCATCAAATTCGTTTTGTTCAGAGACTGGATATAAAAGGTAAATTTTCCATTATGTGTATAGATTAAAAACTTCCATTATAGTTTAGGATGTTCACTTTTTTTTTTTTTTTTTTTTTTTTTTTTCCAGAGCAGTGTTATTTACCAGCTCCAGTTAGACGTCAACCTCGCCAGCAAAGAGAGCCACGTGTTGATTCTGCTGTTGGCGGTTAAGCATTTTTGAAATACCTACATAGAATCTACTTGTCATCCCATTTATATCCTTCCGCCATTTGCAACATTATCATTGCAAGGATCCAATAACTTTATTCATACGTCATACCAACTTTAACTGCCGGGTTAGACTACTAATATTGCAATTCTTGCTCTTAACCTAAATTACATGAATTCGACGTCTAACAAATTTAAATGTAACACTATTGATATAGCGTTAACCTATGAAACTACATTTCGTACATGCCTGCCAAATTTACTGGGAGCGTAGCAGTTATCGCACACGTTGTAATAAATACAGTTATAGGCAGGAATTGAAATGCACAGCAGCTATGTTTTTTTAAGAAACTATTAAACGTTCCCCAAATAGGTTTACCGACTGAAAGGAAGTTCATTCCAGAAGACGTTATCATTAAATATAAAACTACTTTCCGGAATTTCTGAAATCAAAATGGACTGATTTCAGTCTGTTTTCTATTTTCATGTTAGCCTTGAAAAATAATAAATCATGAGTTAAAATTTATTACAGATACAACAAAAACAACACGGGCAAAATATTGTGGACTTCTGGTTATGATAAACCCTATGTCTTACCAACATTTTTTTTTTTTTTTTTTCAAATATTTCACCTGGATAGTAAGCTGCGGTGAAATAAAAATAAATCTAAAATGGAAGTGTGACACTAATCGTGATTGATCAACAAAAGCACAGCATAGTTGAGCACACGGAGACAAAATGTCGTGGCGGTTGGCTGCGGGAGACTATCGGAATCGGATTCGTAACTGATTGGCTACTGCGAAAGGTTACCTACTGGCGGGGCTGCCGTGTGGCAAGCCTCTTAACAGTGGGATGGACCTCCGTGGGAACCCCGCGACCAAGGTCAAGAAGCGAGGGAGCGATACGGGCGACACTAACACGCACGCCTAGCGCCTCATCGCTCCTACGTGCAAGGCGTGCAGTGTTTCCGTCGTAACTCCGTACTGTGCTGGTTCGATCTGTAACAGTGGGACTCTATTACACTCCATGAAAGATCACAGGTTAAACTACGCCCGTGTCTTTGTACTTTTCTCTTGACGCTTGAGGAAACTGCATGGACAAGGTCTAAATGTGCTATATTTGACCATTTTCACGAATTTCTTCTTCAAGAACACATGTAATATGACAAAAGTAAAAAAAAAAAAAAAAGGGGGGGATAGAAAATTGTTTTATTTTTCTATATTTTCTAACAGAAAAGTCGTATTTGCAGATCATTTATTTACCGAGATACGCGTACACGTGCATCTTTTAAAAAAACGCGGGGGTACACCTCGCTCTTAAAATAGTTACTTTTCGGGGCATATTTTCTGTACATTCATTGTTTGCGCGTTGCGTTTCTCTCAGCGTATTAGATATCTTAGGTATACGACTAGTTGTGTTAGAAAAGATAAAAATCAATCATCTAAGCGCGTGAATTTTTGTTTTTATCATACGCAGTGTATTCAAAGTGAAACATAATTGTGAGAAAAAAAAATTGAATTTTTAGAGCTTGGGTGCGTTGTTTCCTTAATAGTCAGAAGGAAAGTAAAACGGCGCAGTCATAGTTTAATCTATGGGCTTTCATCGCGTGTAATAAAATCCCGCTGTTACAGATCTCATTGGCAGAGGAAAGCATAACTACGGAAGCCCTGCACAGCTGTTCATTCATTGCCTTGCGCGTATGAGCGATGGGTAGGGACAGGTGATTTTCGCGAAAGTATTTTTTGGCCATGCTAGACTTCAATGTCCTACTTCCACAACAGCTACATCATTTGGTTATTGCCCGCGTCTCTCTGCGTGAGAATACTCTTTCTTATTTGACTGGGCCAAACGTAATAAAGTACTCCGACGCTGAACGGCCATGATTCGCGGACAGACGCTTGAGGCACGTGGCATTTAAAGTCATCCAACCACGAATGTGCACACGAACAAACGTGTTTTGGTGTGCAACTGGTCTTGAAGTATTTTCGCGAAAAAACACCAGTCCCTAGCGATGGGGCGCTGGGCGCGCTTGTTATTGTCGTCCTTATCGCTGTACCTCGAATGCAAAAAAAAAAAAAAAAAAAAAAAAAATTCTCGTGACCACGTATTCTTAAAATTACTTGGTCCCGAGATAATTTTTCCGCTTTCGAAGCACAGCGATAAGGGCGACAATAACACGCGCGCCCAGCGCCCCTTCGCACCTACGCGCAAGGAGCTGAACCGTCGTGCAGTTCTTCCGCTGTTACACTTTCCTCTACAAATGAGATCTGTAATTTAAAGTTTTATTTTTCTCCTACGTGTTAAGAAAACTTCTCAGGGAAGCTCTAAAAATACGATTTTTCACCAGCATTTTTTCCTCTTAGACTAACCTTAACACTATAAAAACAAAACTGCGCGAGGTAGAATAATTGTTATTGATCTTTTTTTTGGCTAAAATTCGTGTCCCCAGGACTTTCCTTTGCCGAACGGCACGCACGTAAACGCACAAATGACGAATGTATAGAAAATATGTCGGGACTACTAACTTATAAGGGCGAAGCCGTATATGTAGGTATATCCTGCTCGTGGTAAAATTAGCACTTTTTAAATCCCTGCTCAAGAACTACTTGTATGCACGTTGTGTTTTCTTCTGCCTTATGTAAAATTGTCATTGCCATTGGCCTCATCGCTTTCTGCATGCGGCGGTTAAGTAAAACTATAAAATTACTAGAAAAGTAAATATTTTTTTAATGCACTGATTTTTACTCTTCGACGCATTAAAAAAAACATAAAGCGATAGAAATAATTTAAGTTGTCACAAATGGTTACCTAACACTTTTTATTCAACGTTAAGGTATGTAACTACTTTCCCCCATCGTTACCAACTATACTTGGCGCATGTCACTCAGTGCGTTCGCTAAAACACTGTATATGCAGGTAGGAGCAGTGACTTTTTTCCAATGTTGATTTAAAAAGTGCTCACTTTATCGTGAACAGCCTTTAGTTGTGCGGGAGAGAGACGTCAGTACCACGAAACATGTTGCCGAACACTCTTGGCAGACTGACTCAACTGATGTACGATGTGCATATAGGCTCCTCCGAGCCAAGTGAAGTGCTACCTGCGCCGCGCCAAACCGCGAAATGACTGTGTTTTAAG